AGGAGGAGAACGAGGGAGAGGGCTACAGCTGGAATTCAGAGTGAATAAATTGTAAATGATGATGATGATCAGCTGGAATACAAAGTGAATAAATTGTAAATACTAATGATGATAATAATTATAGAAAAAAATAATTAATGAAAAAATTGTTATTTATTCACTCTGCATTCTAATTGCAACCCCCTCCCAGTTCTCCCCTCACATACCCTTGCCCCATTCTGTCCTTCTCAGAGAAGCAGGAGATCCCTCATGTGTACCAACCTGCCCTTGTACATTAAGTTGGTACAGAACTAGGCATATCCTCTCCCACTGAGGACAGAAAAGGCAGCCCAGTAGGGGAACGGGATCAAAGGGAGGCCAGTTGTTCTGTGTCTTTTTATTGTAGAATTGGGACCATTAATGTTGAGAGTTAAATAAGCAGTTACCAATGTTTATTAGTTCCTATTATTTTGTTGCTATGGTATGGGTTTTTTTCTTCTCTCTTTTTGATTACCTTGCCGGGGATTACATATTCCTTGTGTTTTCTTGGGTGTGGCTAACCTCTTGAGATTGAAGTTTTACTGCAAACACTTTTTGTAGAACTGGATTTGTAGATAATACTGTTTAATTTTTATTTTATTGTAGAATAGCTTTCTCTTGTTATGAGTCTATGTGTTATGACTATAAGTCTATAAGTTTTGCTGAGTATTGTAGTCTGTGTTGGCATCTAAGATCTCTTAAAGTTTGTAGAACATCTGTCCAGTTTCTTCTGGCTTTTACAGTCTCCCTTGAGAAATCAAGTGTAATTCTAACAGGCTTTCCTTTATATGTTAGTTTGTCTTTTTCTTTGGCAGTTTTTAATATTATTTCTTTATTCTGTACATTTACTGTTTTGATTAATACATGGCGGTGGGAGACTTTCTTTTCTGGTCCAGTCTATTTGATATGCTTCCTGTATATTTATAGGCATCTTCTTTGGGTTAGGGAATTTTGTTCTATGATTGAAAATAGAAGTCTCTGTGTTACTTCTTCTACTCTTATTTTTTTTTAATTTTATTTATTCACTTTACATCCCAGTCATAGCCCCCTCCCTCCTTTCCTTCCGGTCCCATCCTCCCACTTTCTCTTATACCCCCTACTCATCAGAAAAGGGGAGACCACCCCCTTACCAACACACTCCAGCACATCAGTTTGTATCAGGACTGAATGTATCCCCGTCTTTTCATAGTTTCCAGATTTCCTGGATGTTTTGTGGCTAGATTTTTTTTTTTTTTTAGATTTAACATTTTCTTTGATCAATGTATCTATTTCTTCTACTTTGTCTTCAAGCACCCAAGATTCTCACTTCCATGTCTTATATTTTGTTGGTGGGGCTTGCCTTTATGGTTCTTTTTCAAGCACCTAAATTTTTCATTTCCAGTTTTATCTCAGTTTGGGTTTTCTTTAGTGATTTTATTTCTACTTTCATGTCTTGAAGTATATTAATTATTTCATTTCACTGTTCGTGTTTTCACAGATTTCATTAAGGGACTTAATCATACCCTATTTAAGGTCCTTAGGCATATTCATAATAGCTACTTTGAAGTCCTTCTCTTTGTGCTTCAGTTATATCATATTCTCAGGGTGTACTATAATAGAGTAACTGGATTCTGGTAGAGACACACTCTCCTGACTGTTATTGTTTGTGTTTTTATGTTGGTGTCTATGCATGTAAAATTAGTAAGACTGTAATTATAGGTGTTGATATCTGGCCTCGCCTTTGTTGGATGGGTGCCCCATTCCTTGGTTTGTGTTGCTCTCTCGGATTTTAGGGAAGTGTGTTGGTTGTGTGTGTGTGTGTGTGTGTGTGTGTTGTCTCATAGAGAGTGCTTTTGTAGGCCAGTGGGTAGCAGAGAAGAATAGTGTGGGGTAGGCGAAAAGACTGAGATAGGCTTTAAGAAAGAGCCAAGGGGATACTGTTCACATGTAGAGGTAACCTCTACCTCTATGTTGTTTTTAGGAGTTGGGAGGTGTGGTGGGAAGGAGGGATCTATCAAGCAGGCTGCAATAAGGCAAAGACTTATCTAGAAAGACAGGCATGAATGAGCTGTGTTGATCCTGGGTCTGAACCAAGTGTTGGAGACTGCAGTAAATGAATTTGAGGTAAGAAGAACATTTTCAGCAGGTTGTTACTCAGCTGAGGGTGACAATGAAGAGATAGTAATGAAGGACAGGAACTAATGGTTCACCTACTTGAATCACTGCCAGGTGTAGCTACTGTAGATGCCTGGTGGAAAGTGGTTTTAGGTATTGGAGGCTGACACACAGGAAAGGGGATGGAGTAGAAGAGGCATTGAGAAGGTCCACAGGAAGGAGGCAAACTAGCTCTGCTGCAAGGTTTGGTAAAGTCCCCAGGGAGAGGCAAAGTGGAGGACCATCCTCTGCAAGTGGTCTGCTTCAGGGTTGGGGATGGCACCCGGAGCATTGCAATAAAAGAATGAGGTAAAGGTGGCCTACCTCCTTCCCAAGACAGTGTTGGACACTAGGTTCCCAGGCAGAGTGTTTCTGAGTATCAACAGTTGACGGAAAGGAACAGGAATGGGGTTGAAGTTGTGAGGTCCTAGCAGGGTCCACAGAAAGTAAGCAAGCTGGGTCTGCCTCAATGTTTGGAAGAGTCCAAAGAATGAGGCCATTGTGGGAGGACCATCCACTACAAGTGTTCTGCCAGAGGGCTATAAATGAGGCTGGGGATTTGCATTATAGTACAGAAAGGAGAGTGAAGGTGGTGTACCTGCTTCTAGGCCAGCATGGCCACTGGGCTCCCAGGAAAACAGTCTGGAATTAGGGTTTTATGCCCTAATATAAGACAAGGTTTGGACTAAGAATCTCTTCCTAGTACCTAAATGTGTAGAAAGGTTAGTTTATATGATCTGCCTTAGGGAGAAGAAAAGTTGTAGTTTTTAGGACTTGCTTTGAGGAAGGTATAAATGAAAATAAAATTGTATGTCACAGCATCAAAGGCATGATCAATGTTAGTATAGTACAACTCAGCCCTAGAGTTGCTTTAGAAATGGGGCATGGGTAGATGCCTTAGTTGGTGTTGAAAAGAGCCTCAGAAACATAGGTGTGGCTCTTAGCAGGACTAGGCTAATACGAAGTGATGGCAATATGGCAAAGATGCAAAGACTTTGGTCACTCCCTGCCTCATTCTGCATTGGTAATTCTTGTTCTTTTAGCTTCCTATGATAGTATCAGATGCTGTTTTGCCTTCTCCAGTTACTTCAGAGCTACCTTCGATGTTTCCAGCCCACCTTTAGCATCCTTCCAGAAAAAGAACTAATGGTACCAGTATAGGTGATAAGCACTGTCCTTTCAAGACAACAGGATGGGCCTGTTTCCCAACAGAGCTTCTCTCTAGTCTTCTTGTCTTTCTCTACCTTTTCCACACAGAAAGCCAGTCAGTAATGTTTGCTCTATCTCCAAGTTATCTTGTGATTGCATTTTTATGTTCTTTTTGGCACCATGCTAGTCCAAGTATTGAACACATTTGCTTGATAGACTATGGCCGTCTAATCTTACTGGAATCTTGAGTCTGGTATCCCCTCAGGTCATTGAGCTATTTTGCCCCCTCCTTTTACAAGCTCATCACAGAGCTATTCTTTCCATTTGGAGTCCCCTTTACTAAAGTTACTACCATGTGGCCCTCACATCTTGTTCCCATATTATTTCCCCAAAGTGAGCATCCCTTGTTACCAAGACAATATTTTACTTCCTCTTTAGTATCAGTTCTGTCATAAAACAGGCATTCTGTGAATAATGCTGTTACACTAAATCAGTGGGTAAACTGGATAAATGCTTGGGTGTATGGATCGGAGATCAGATACAAAGGCTACACACACACACACACACACACACACACACACACACACACACACACAC